CACAGACACGCTCTTCCGATCTTAAGCGTGTCTGTGTTTGCACTTCTGGGAGTTGGTCCAGATATAAAAAGGAAAACACCAAAGAAACTGCAGGAATTAAAGCCTGCCTTCTAAATTACATTTTGGTTTTAAGTTTATAATTGAGAGTTCAGTCCTGAAAACGTCTAACAGTAAATTAAAGAGGTTAGCATATAGTTAATTATAAATGAAGCATTTTTGTTGGGTGTGAAAGTCTCAAAGAATTTGACAGAAAACAAAAAAGCTGGATGTCAGATTTTCTATAGCTCAAGACCAAATATCTCCAAACTCACTTTATTTTTCATATGGACAAGCTCATGAATTTTATAAATCTAAATATTCTGTTTTGTTTTTGTTTTGAAAAGCACTTTCAGTTTTGTTCAAATGTGTAATTATATTGTGATCTTGGGAAATAAGTTTCTTCTTAAATACAATCATATTTCATCGTTAAAGTTCTCTCCTTGGTTTGGGCTGATCCAGGTCTGAAGGCCGTCAACAAATCCTGCTTTTATTTCAAATACTCACATTTATAGTTCCTCAAATGTGAATGTATCTCCCATGAAACAGCAGTTTTACAAAGCTACACAGAAGAAGGAGCTGTTTCACACAAACAAAAGCCTTAAATTTCTGCCTCCTCAGAGTAATTTAGTTGAGCTTTAGCTCTTCTGAACCTGAAAAACGTCTCATTTAATCATCAGACCAAACAAATCAAACTGTTTTGCAGATTCTATTTAAAGTCCTGACACTGAAAATGAAACCTGTTATTATTAAATCATCCAACCATTGAGCTATAAATTGAATTCAGGGATTTTGCTGCCAGTTTTTTTGCTAACAGAATAAAAATCTGAATAATCGACTTGCAGCTTATCAAGGCAGCACAAAGTTTAAGCATTTTTCCACCAAAAGCCAAAATGTGGGCGATACTGTTCATGTCTGTGTCTATCTATTAGCAAAACATTGTATTAATGACAGAATTTAATAAAACTCAAAGAGTAATTATTGTGTGAACATCAGCAACTGATCAGCTTTTAGAGTAAACTCAATTCAAGATGGCCACCCCAGCTAATCGAGTATAGCAATGATTATTGATGACTCAGGTAATTTTACAGGTTTTTGATGCGGTACTACTTCAGTTATTTACCATTAAGTGAAAGATCTTCATTAAATTACTTTAAAAGTAGGTTGTTTCTTAAAATATGATCATAGTTTAAAAGTTTGGCTTTAAAAGCAACGGGTGATATGATCCCATCAAGGAATGCTGGAGCTTTAATTATTGTGGTCCTGAGTCTCCCTGCTGCATCATAACAACTAGAAAACAATGTTTTTGAAGATGATGATTTTCTGGAAACTTTATTCTAAAAGTTACATTTTCTGCTGAGTAATGTTTTGTTCTGAAATGTAGTTTTAAGTATAAAACTGATCATCAACTCCTGTTTGCATAAACTCACATGCTCTGGAGACAATCGTCAGAGAAATCTTACGATGATGTTTAATTAACACATAAAGGAGACCCAACTGAGGCTACTCCAGGCTGCAACAAAGAGTGGTAACCAAAGCTGCCCTCGGCTCTCTGATGGGTTTTATTTGTTTTTAAATCTTCTGGAGTCAAAGTTAAACCAACGTCACATAGTGACAACTGACTCGGTGCAACAACAGGCAGTTGTTGGTGACGGATCCTTAAGAGCAGTAAAGATGTCCCTGGAATCTGAAAGTTGCGTTACAAAAAGCAGATACATGATAGCTGCGTATTTTTAGATGCCTTTAAAGTTGAAGACAACACAACTTGGAAAGCGCTACGGTGGCCTGGAAGGGTTCAGACGGGAAGGAGGTTTACTGAAACAGGTTAAAATAATGACTGGTTCTCTGATTCTTACCTTCAACTGTTTCCGTCATCGTTCCAAAGTTAAAACTCCTTCCAAATGGTAATCCTTTCTGTAGATTATGTTGCCATGGAGACAAATATCAGGAGGATCCTCAGTCCTTTGCACGATTTAATCCCACCTTTAAATTCCAACGTGAAAAACTGGAATTGAAAATATCAGATCTTTTGAACTGTTTCACCGCCACAGGTAGCGCTACTCCTCTGTTTCCATTCCCAGGCCTTCGACGTGCACTTTGGTTGGATTTCCACAAGTCAGGCACTGCCAAGTCCAGAAAGGTAGTCCAGTGAGATCCACTGCTGGGGAGACAGAGACCAAGTTTAGATGGTCAGTGTTATTTCCCTCATGGCCTCGTTGGGGCTGGACTGCAGATAGAACACCCCCCACCACCACCCCCCACCAGCTCAGACAGAATTAGACCGACCACAGGGACTGAGGGGACGGGACCAGCAAAAGAGACACTTGGAGAAAGAGCTTCACTGTAACTTTATCCCATCAGCCAGCGTTGGTGTTGGAGTCACGTGACCACAGAGTTGAAAGTGGTTTAATGGTATAGTATTTGTACAGTAAACATAAAAACTTGTTTTGTGTATTTGTTGTATTCAAGTACTCAGCTGTCGCCTACAAATACAGAATAATCTAGTTACTGCTGCATTCACACCACATTTCAGAGCCCGAGTTATTTTTAGTGTGGTCTGCTGCTGCTGCTGGTAATCTGCTTCGCCTTTTTTAGGCCTGAGGCGTGACCTTAGCATCCCGCCCACTGGACCCCCCCACCCCCATGTGTTCATCCATCTCCAGCAGACCTCATCTGCTTTCTGCAGAAATGTCATCAAGTGACGAGCACAGTCCAGAGGAACGTGAAACGAGCTTGTTTACACGAGTAAACAGCTGCCTAAAGACAAAGATCTGACCTAAAGTTGTGGCAGAAGTATCTCTGTGCTTCCAACTGGCTGACATGAGGTGTTCATGGATCCTAACAGCAGGAGCTTTGGGTTTTTCAGAAAGTGTGCAGTGTCAGGTCCCCCCATGTTGACATAATGACCCGGGCTCCTCTTTCTTTTCTGTAGTTGCTGTTTTTGTGCTTGTTGCAGTTTGAAACTCTCCTAAAGTTATTTATTGTGGTTCACTTCTCTGATTTGTATAATAACAGAGGTCTTTTTTGTCAACCACTAAATAAAAGCTGTTTGATCATGAAGAGTGGGCCTGAACACCAGTGGACAGGGTGGGCCTGAACACCTGTGGACAGGGTGGGACTGAAGACCTGTGGATAGGGTGGACCTGAACACCTGTGGATAGGGTGGAGCTGAACACCTGTAGACTGGGTGGACCTGAACACTTGTGGACAGGGTGGGCCTGAACAC